GCACTAGCCTCTGCCCCCTTGGCCTGGGGCTCCTGGCTCTCGGGGGTGGCCACAGCCTTCCCTTCCTGGGCTGTGCCTTCGTCGCCGCAGGCACCGATCTCCCCCTGCTCCTGCTCTTCCTCGGTGGGTGAGGAGGCAGACGAATCACCCCCACCCTCCTTCCGATTTCTCTTGAAGGACAGACCACTCAATTTGAAAGGCTTCTTGAAAGAGAATTTCTTCTTCTTCTTGGGGGTCTCCTTGGTGGGGGCATCCCCCTTGACCTCAGCGCCCTGGCTAGGGGGTGCTGGCTCGATGGCATCGCCAGTGGCCCCGGCTGCCTCCTCTGTTCCGTTCACGGGGGGCGATTCCCCTTCACCCTTGGGGGATAAGTCTCCATTGCTTTTCACGTGGCCATTCTCCTGCAGGGCAGAGGAGACAGCAATGAGGGCCGGGGCTCTGCCCCACCTCCCCCAGCCCGCCCCTGACCCCTTCTAGGCAGCGGGACCCCGACTATTCTGCAACCCGGGAGGCTGGCAGTAGCCTCACCCCCACCGGGATCCCGTCAAACATCTCCCTCCTGCCCTCACGGGCGCGCGGGGGCCAAGAGCGCAGAGGCCGCGGCCGGCAGGAGGCGCTGGGGGGTCCCGTGGCCCCCCACCCACCTCCCCCGGGGCGCGCTCTCCATTCGGCTCAGACCCGCTCGAGGCCGCCGATCCCCGGCAGGCGGGCGGGCGAGCCCAGCAAGCCGACAACGCGCGGGAAGCCGCCCCGGGGCGCTCTTCTCCGCACCTGGACGGCCCATTTTCCCAGCCTCCTGCTTTGTGTAAACGGGCCCCCACCCACCCCAGGCTGTCCCCACATCTCGACTGCCCCCCCCCCCAAAAAAGGCTGTGAGCCACCGAGATCGGGTCTCAGGGTGGAGTGCCCTCCCCCCCGGGCACCCGCCCCGCGGCCCCTGGGCGCCCCCTTGGCGCGGCCCGGCAGCGCCTTTGTTCCTCGCGCGGCACTCGGGGCGGCCGGGGGGCAGCGCCGGGGGCCGGGGCCGCGAACAAAGAAGGCGGCGGGGCCGGGCCGGCGCCCCCTCCCCGCCCCTCCCCTCGCTTCGCCCGCGGGGGCTGCGGCGCCGAGAACAAAGGGACCGGGCGGGGGAGGGGGCGCCGCGTGTCCCGGGCCGGACAAAGCGCGCGGCCCCGGCCCAGGGCCCCAAAGGGGGCGAGGTGCGGGAGGAGGGGGCCGGGCCGGGCCGTTCCGAATGCACCCACCTGTCCGTTGGCCTTAGCAGGGGAAGCGCCTGCTGCCTCCTCGGCGGTCACGTCGCCCCGGGGAGCCTTGGAGCTCTGGCTGCCCATGATGGGGGGGGGGTCTGCTGGGGGGCGCCCGGAGCCGCCCCGGGCTCGCGCCGCAGGGATAGTTCAGTCGGGTCGGCCTGGCCGGCGGAGGGGTGGGGCTCGCGCCTGAGGGGGAGGGGTATCGGGGGGGAACCGAGCTGCACCCCCTCTCCGCGCCCGACCCGCTAGCTGCGCCCGCCGCCGCTCAGCTCCGCGCCAGAATGCCGCCCGCCGCCCGCCGAGCTGCCTTATATAGGCGCCCCGAGCTCGGGGCGGGGCCGGACATTTAAATAAGCGCCCAATCGAGAAGCAGAGGCGGGCTCAGGTCCCGGGCCCCACTTACGCAGTGGGCGACGCCGGCGGTCTGGGTACCCCCAGCCCACTCGCCTACCGGGGGCAGGTGGGGTCCAGCGTGGGAAGGGGAGAGGCGGGTCTTTCGGCGAGCAGGGGGGGAGGGGGCGGAATCCTAGAGGAAAGAGAGAGCAATCATTCTCTCACAAGCCACCCCTCCCGGGGGACGCCCCAGCAACTGGAGTGGCCCCCAACGCCTTGGTCCTGCACTGACAGCCCCTGTCAGTCTCTCCCTAGAACTCTTCGAAGGGCTTACGTGCCCAGACTCGTTAGAGGGTTGGTCCTGAGTTATGCTCCGGAGAATGTGGTCATAGAAGCCGCAGGGCCCCGCGCCGGGATCTGCGCCCCCTCAGGCCTGGAGACCCGTCAGAGGTCCCACCCACGTCCTTGCCTGCCGGCCCCGGTCAGCCTGGGGGGTCTGGCCCGCGGCGGAGTCCCTCTGATCAGCCCGGTGAGGTCTGTCCCTCGTCTCTCCCCCCAGTCCCTTGGCAGCCGGTCACACCAAGCCCACACAGACAAGCTCACCCTCGGTCCCTCCTTGCCCTCAGCCCGGACCCATTACGAAGTTCCGGCTGGGGTGGTCCTGCGACCTTGAAGGGCATCTCCGTCCCACGTGAACACTGGAGAGTCTGAGGCTCAGAGACGTTGGCATAACCTGTCTGACCCGTCAGATGCTCTCCCCCTACCTCTGCTCCCCCATATTAGGGAGCCTCCCCCAGCAGGCAGAGGAACCCAAGGAATTCAACACACACGCCAGTGGAGGGGTGGGACATCAACAAGGCTCCTGGGACAGCCCCTTGAGGACATCCCCAAGGCTGCCAGGCTCAGCCCCCTGCCCAGCCTGAGAGCGAGGGAACCTGGAGGGAGGGTCCTGGTGAAGGGGGCTGGAGCCCCGCCAGTCCCACTTCCCCTTCCCCTGGTATGGACAGATCTGTGGGAACCCCAGCGTCCTGACTGGCCCCGGATGTGTGTGTCCGGTTGCCTGCTCTCAGCCCCCAGGAGGAAGGGGATGGGGGCTGGAGGAAGCAAAGTGTTGCAAAAGCAAGGCTGTGTCCTGGACAGCTCAGCCCATCCCTCCCTCCCTCCCTCCCTCCTACTGGTAAGGCCTCCTGGGAGGCCTGAGGCTGTGAGGTGTGGAGACACCCCAGGGCCTGAGAAATCAGGAACTCCCCACTGATCTAACCACAAAGGGGCGGAGGAGGGCTGAGGTGGCATCGACATTCAGCACTCACTCCTGTAGCCTTCCCCCCCCCCCCCCCCACGGAATGCTCTCAGCTACTTCAACACACCCTCCTTATTTTCCAGACTGGTACACCCAGGTTCAGAGAAGGAGACTGATGCGTCCAAGGGCACACAGCAGATACCGGTAGCTGAGGGTGAGAACGGGTTTGGAAAAGGCCTGCTAAACTGAGGTGGGGGCTGTAAAGAAACCCCTGGAGAAGTGGCGCATTAAGCTCTGGGACTGCCTGGCCAGAGCGGGAGGTCAGAAGAAACCAGCCTGGGGCGGGGGCGGGGGCGGGGGGGGGGCACGATGCCCCACGGCAGCTCACTCAGAACGGCGCCTTCTCCACCCACCGCCACGAAGGGATGGACTCCGTGACCTGCATCTCTGTCTCGACCACAATAGGGAACCCACAATGCTGCCAGGCGCTGCCCGCACCGGCTGGCAGGGCTTAGATGGAGGGTGCCCGAGTCCCGGAGGGGCTGGGGTCAGAGGTGAAGAGCAGATCCCAAGGCTCCCGCTTTCCAGGCGCCGCACTGAGGGGCTGAGAGGCAAATCCCGGGAGGAGAGAGCCACATCGGGGCTGAGGACCCCTGAGTTCCCAGGGCCCCAGAGGGAGCCGGGCCCACAAGGGAGCTCTGCCTCTCCTAGGAGACATTGCTGGAGGCTGGGGAAGGGTCGTCTGGGAGCCCAATCCCTCAGTAAATCCAGGTCCCCTCAGGGTCTGGCTTCTGGAAGAGGGCAGAGGCTCAGGATGCTGTGGGAGTGAGGAGGGGTGTGCGGCAGCCCCCATGGCCTCCTCTGTCCACACTGTGGCTCCTTCCTCCCCAGCTGCTGCCAGCCCAAACAATGCGCCCATTGTTCTGTGTCTCCAGGGGCCTGTGTGCAACTGTGTGTGTCTGTTTCTCTCTGTGTGTGACTGTGTATTGCTCTGTATCTGTCTGTGTGTGAGAAACTTTGTGACTGTGTGTGTGTGTGTGTGTGTGTGTGTGTGTGCCCGCGCGCGCGTGTGACCAGGTGTGCACGTTTGTGCTTGTGTGAGTCTGCATCTTTGTTTGGCTGTGGGTATTTGGGGTGAGAGAGAGACTTGGTGACTCTTGGCGACTCTGGGACTTGCTGGGTGTGTGCCTGTCTGTCCTTGAGACTGCGCGTTGGTGACTGTGTCCAGCTGAGATTGCGTGTACAACTGTGAGTGTGCGGGGCCGTGTGAGAGAATATCTAGGAGTGTGTGGATGAAAAAGTGGCTTGGTGTTTGTGTGAGTGTCCCGTGGGCGGCCGTGTGTGCCTCAGTGGGTCGCTGAGGCTGTGGTGGCCAGAACCTTTGAGGTATGGGCCTTTGCCAGGGAAAGGAGCAATGGGAAGGACAGGGGGGACTCTGGGGGGGGGGGGGAAGGCAGCTGTAGAGACTAGAACTCCCATGTTTTCACCCATTCCTGCCTGTCCCAGCTGTTCCGTGAGGCCTCGGCCCCCCGCCCTGGCCTGAGATGCTCCTCGTCTCCCTGGATGGAAGGGAAGGAGTTTCTCTGGCAGGGAGAGCGCAGGGTGGGGCTGAAAGGTGGGAGGAGGGCAGAAGAGAACATGGCCTCAGAAAGGAGGAGTGGGTGCACCGGGGGTGTCCGCGGTGGGCATCAGACCGGATGCCCGGTGAGGTGTGAGGGCGCACTATCTAGTCGGAGGTGGGGGACGGGCCTTCCTAGCGTGGACGGCGGGTGGAGGGGGGGGACACCAGCACTTGCACAGACCTGGAGAGGGGAAGAGACATCAGAGAATGGCCAGGTGCCCAGTGGAGACCTCAGCAACGGTGACTTGGTACAGCCCAGTGCCCAGCCCCAGCCTCCCCATCTCCTTCTACGGAACGTCAGCTGGACCCAGAGATCTTCGTTTTGCCCCAGGTCTGCCTCCTCCTTCTGCTCTGGCACGTCCTTAGGCCTCAGTTTGCTGGGCTGCACGGCGACAGGCTGGGCTCCACGATTCATGGTCACAAAGACTTGGAGTTCCTCCTGCTCACAAGTGGCAGAGCCCCAGCCGTGAGTCATGCAGAGCCCTGCCCTCAGGGGGTTCCCATCCAGGGGGAGAGAGGGTCAGCGCCTTAGGGGCAGAAAAAGCCTGTGGGCTTCATGAAGGAGGGGCACGTGCACGGGCCAGGGATGGAGGTAGAGTCTGGGGCGGAACAAAGCGGGAGCAGCAAACGGTTTGTGTGCGGTGGGGATGGAGGGCCCGGCCTGATCTGGAGCAAGGTTTGGAGACAGGCTCCCTAGGACTCAGGGACTGGCCGGCTGCAGGGTTGGGGCAGGGAGAAGGGAGGGATAATGTTGTCTCCGCCTTTCTGATGTGGGTGACAGCTGGCGAAGTGGATCTGTTGACGGAGACAGGAAAACAGAGGGAAAGGGAACTGGGGAGTGGGGGGGGGGGGTTGCTGAATTGAGCTTTGTTGAGTCTCAGGTGCCCAGGGAACATTCAGGGGCACATGCAGTGGGCAGCACATGGACATGCTCTCGGATCGTGTTTCTTGAGCCAAAGGCCAGGGCCCAAAGCCTGGCTAGTGACCTTACAGAGACAACGGACAGAAGGTTTGAAGTCAGAGCTGACCTCGGGACATCTGGGCCTCTAGATGCTGTGAGCTGAAGGTAAACGGAGTCAAGCAGTTGCATGAGGTCACCCAGGAAGTACCCAGGCAGTGAGGAGCACTGCCCCTGGCGGGGGGGGGGGGGGGTGAGCGGGGCGCGGTTCGCCACCCACCTCCCGTGACCCCGGCCCCCGTAGGTTGAGGTGGTCTTCTGGCTGCTGTCCATGCTGGCAACGCGGGACCAAGAGGACACGGCGCGCACCCTGCTGGCGATGTCCAGCTCGCCGGAGAGCTGCGTGGCCATGCGCCGCTCGGGGTGCCTGCCGCTGCTGCTGCAGATCCTGCACGGCACCGAGGCTGGCGCCGGGGGTCGCAGCGGAGCCCCCGGGGCGCCGGGAGCCAAGGACGCACGCATGCGCGCCAACGCGGCGCTGCACAACATTGTCTTCTCGCAGCCCGACCAGGGCCTGGCGCGCAAGGAGATGCGCGTCCTGCACGTGCTGGAGCAGATCCGGGCCTACTGCGAGACCTGCTGGGACTGGCTGCGGGCGGGCGGCGGCGCCGAGGCGGCCGGTGAGTGGCGGGGCCGCCGCGGCTGCTGCGCCCTCTGGACCCTGTGCGGCCTGAGGCCCGTGGGGACGTTGTCTTGGCGGACGGGGACCGCGGTGGCC